TCCCTACACTAAAAGATCCTCCTTCAACTATACTGAACTGGTAAGCATTGGGAGACTTCAGTGGAGCTCTCACAAACTGAGGGCAACCAGTCTGACTAATAGTGTTCCTTAGATCCACACAATGTTGTAGCTCTATTACCAGTGGTTTTAATAGTCCCTTAGATACTGATATTGCATATACTGCACTCACTAGCACAGTACCTTTGGGTACCTTGAAATTACCACCAGCTAGTGCAGTAACAGCTACTTCAGTATCCTTGGACACTGCTCCTTCAGGACACTCTAATCTGAATCCATATTTCTCCCACTGGAGTGAGTGAGACCTGTCTCCTTGTAGGATAAAGAGCTTCTGTCCAGCTATAATGACACTAGAGTCTAGTGAATCTGAAACAATACACACACATCATATCTAATACCAGTATAGTACACACTCAATCATTCACATGTGTACATGTACATAAATAATTTACCCATTGAAGGGATCAGGTAATTAAATTGTAGTCCAATGGAACTAGTCTCTTTGATAGGTTGCTTGAGGACCCTCTCTTGTCTTTCATTCACTAGTTTGGCTATGTACAACTCCTTTTCTTTAAGGTCTATAAATTAATAGAATATTAATAATTATTATTGATTGATGATGATACACTAACCAGTAATGATCTGTTTCTCATTTTGTGATTGTTCCTCTACTTTTGATGTCAGTTTGGCTACAACTTTGTCTTTTTCTGAAATGTCAATTTTCAAATTTTCAACATCGTCTACACAATAAAGATATTTTCTCATCTAATACATGCTGTGTATATAGTTAACTAACCAATAATGGTCTGTTTCTCCTTGAGATGTTGTTCTTCCATATCAGCTACTTTGAGTTTCAGTTTTTCATAATCTTCTACATTAATAGAATATTCTCTCATCTAATATTATGTACTGATGATACACTAACCAGTAATAATTTGCTTCTTCTCCTCTACTTGTGTCTTCTCTTCAAATATTTCAGCAACTTTAACTTTAAGCTTCGCATCATATTCTATTATCAGTAAAAATACAAAAGATTGAAAATAAAATGATATTGATATTTATAGCTTATACAAATTTGCACTGAATGTACAGTAGCCCATAAATACATGTACTATGATTATTGCTAATGATGCCATATATGGTAAGCAGAGCTCACTCTACATCAATCTCATTATTTCTAATGCATGGACAATTTGACCTATATTGAGTACAGGATACTATTTCCATACTCAACATTCTCTAATCCACTAGTATTATAATGTAAACAATGTACACATAAACAACAGTACAACACAATAGTACCTAATTCAACAGTTGATTTATCTTTTTCTGCTTGCTCAAGGAGAGTGGTAGCATCATCAAGTTGCTGACTAAGTCTTGCCTTTTCTTGAAGAAGCTGTTGCTGCTCTTTCTCTCGATCTTGCTGTATTTGCTCCTTCTCTTTTATTTCTCTTTGAAGCTGTTCCTCATAGAATTCTCTCTCTCTTTGTTGGAGGTGCCCTCTGAGTAATTGAACCTCTTTGCTAGCTTAATCCTAAATTCTCCCAATCACTCAGTATCCTTCTTCTTAGTTGATCTTGATACTGGTCCAGACGTATTACACTAGTAGACCAATCATTATCACTAGTATATCCTATACGGTAACAAAATAGTCGAGAATAAGAAATACACAAATTAATTACACTTAGTTACTATGGTAACCTTATTATTGATGGATTCATGTTTAATCATTGTATGTGTGACCTCTGTCAGTTTACACAGTTAACCACATGAACATATTATTGTATATAAATACACTCATAATAATATTTCATTCACTCTAGCTCCTATTTCATTCACTCTAGCTCCTATTAATATCAGTGTTTCTGTATCTGCAGTCATTATATTTCACTATTGTACATAGCAGGAATGAATTGGTAATAATTAGTATCATAGGTATACGTCAAATGCTCTCATTAAATATTCATCATAAGAATTACTTACTTTATTGTAATATTATTATTACTAATTATCATTACATATTCAATACACATTGTATCTACTACTGTCTACATGTACTTACTGAGTTCAATAACTGCTGTATCATTACTGTGGCTTTCAAAGCCTCCTCCAAACTCAATTATCCAGTTAGTAGTTGGGGTCACACTCCACACTGAGAGAGAATGCCAGTATCTGTTAGTGACATTGTCTGGTAGATTAATCTATAAAATTAAAATGATAATAATTAATTTGTGTATGATATATTAATTGATTTGATATCTGGTTAAGAAACACAATAACTAACTCACAGTTTTATAGTATGCACACTGTGTTTTATGTAACACAAAGATCACATAATAAAATTAATAATACACAATATATTAATAGACAAGTATACACAACTGAGTGAGTTATTATATCATGTGAGTCCTCAATTAATAACTTACCAAGTGTCTGCATGTACACACATACACATACACATACTAATCACACACTAACACACATACATGTACATCTATACATGCATACACATATAAAGCTACATGTAAAGCATGCATAATTGCTCACACACATACACACACATGTACATGTTACATGTACACATGATGTACATGTTAGTACACACATACACATTAAAACATATGCACACATACACACAAATACATGTATGTACATACACAATGTACACAATGTATATAAAATACAATTTATTTTAATTCCAGCATTGACACTCTATCAATTGTAAATCCATCTTTACACACACACACAGACACATGTATATTCACACATATTTAGGTAAAGAAACAAACACAAAACACAAAAAGACACACAAACACACAATCACACTAAAAACAGACACACACACACATACTGAATACCAGCATTTCATCACTAGTTTTCACTGAGTATCATAATATGTACATGTACATTACAAACTTCATGAGTTACAAATTTAGTTAATCACTTTATGTTTCATTATCAAGTATCATAATATAATACTTACCAGTTCTTTCCATTTTCTTTTGTTAATGTCCAGTAACCATACATCATAGGCAGGATGTCCACCCACCACTAGTAAGTGTGGTCCTGAACTAGTGGTAATCAGTACACTGGAATGAGCACCTCTTCCCTCAGGCCATTGTACTGACCCTCCAGGATTAGGTACTTCTAATGTATCCTGAGAGAATAATAAAATCAATTTAAAGAAGTATTAATGAATTAATTGCAATTTAATTGGAACTTACATTTTACAATTAAAAATCTCAAAATCAAAACCCATCCTACAGTATTAACTCACCACTGATGTCTTAGTGAAACTTATCATATACAGTTTATCACAACAAAGTTCTTTATTAGTACTACCTCCGAACAATACTGCAGTGTTATTAGTAACTGGTGTTAGAGTGAAGTTATAAATAGGAGGTGGTCTGTCTCCAGTAACAACAGGAGATATCCATTGATCTAATAATAATGTACAAACATTCATGTACACTTACTTACCACATACACACACATACATTATACACATTCATCATACATATGTATGTGTACATGTGTGTACATTATTATTCATACATACACATCATGCATAGACACACATCACTATCACATGATACACACACACACACACAGATACACTCATGTATGGATACACACGCCATCACACACACCACACCTGTACACATGAAGGAGAGGTCCAGGGGGTCTCTTTATTTCAAGATTACTAATCTATTCTGGTACATGTCAGTTATGATTGTTAATGAATAATTATACAAAACTCATGGAACATTGTATGTGGGTAATTTGTGACTCATGTGATACAGAACTTTATTAAAAATGATAATAAATAACATGAACCCACACACACACACTCATGTCACATTAGCTTATGTATAGATACATGTACATATACAAACATCACACACACACAGATACATGATAATACTCACACACACGTAACATGCACATTATAGATACACGTCACATACACACGTCATACATTCATAAATTCTCACATACATTATATGCACTATCATACACAGACACATCATAATGTATGTATTAGTACACACACACACGTCACATATAGACACACGTCACCATCACACACAAACACATGACACACAGAGACACACTAACAAACACACTTAATTATTAACAATCTGTTTTATGTACATTAATATAAATTATTCATTTTGAAATACTCATCAACTATTGTGTATCAATGATGAGAATTACTGACCTGATGAAATCCTGTAATAATGTATCTCATTACATCTATCAGCTGAATACTGAGCATCAGGTTGCTTAGGTGTAGAAGATGATCCCTGTCCTCCGATTATTACTAGATAGTGTTCACTGTCAAAATGAACTGATATTATTCCACAGAAGCTCTTCTTCATTGGATAACGATCAGAACTAGAAGGAGAGAGTTCCCTCCACTTGAATGAATCCACATTGAAACAATGTAAGCTGTTTTGATAACCACCAACACCACGTCCACCGAAATAATATATGTCCTTCCCAATAGCTACTGTTGAGTAGGCCCCAGTAACTGGTGGTGGGGTACCAGTAGTAGGTTTCTGGTCCCAAGCACCAGTTGGTAAGTGATACACCTCCATCACATCATAGTCTACTCTAGACCCGAACCCACCCCACATATATAGGTAGTCTCCTACCTTTACTGTGGAGTGTCCCCATCTCTCCTCTGGTTGATAGTCTATAGAGAACAAGAGGTACCAGTAGCAGAGTAACAGTAATATAGTGATGAGTTAGATAGAATAAGGACAGGATACAGAGGAGTAAAGTAAGTGAGAGAGTAAGAGAGACAAAGAATGAATGAAAGAGATACAAAGAGAAGAGAATTGTGGCCCTCACTTTTAGATGCCATTCTTGCAAAATTCCAGCCCCACCCAAACTATGCAACATAAGACCACACCCATTTATCCAAAATTCATAAAATGAGTTCCAGTCATGGTGCCAGTAGAAAATCTCCTGCTGGTTCTACTAGACTCAAACCAAATCCCAACTTCTTGAATTCTCCTAGTCAAAGTGATGGGGTAGGTAAGGAGGGGACTGTACCAGAATCCTTATTGAAAGAAGCTCGTAAAACCGGTTCACTGAACCTGTCAAACAGGTAGGAGGCTGTGTGAGACTTGTTAAAGCATGGTATACTGCATGCTTTGAGACAAGTCCCTTGAATGTTGTAGATTTGTTTATAGTTTAGTTTGTTGTTTATTTTTGTATAAAGACTCATAATTATGTTTACATGTTGTGTGTTATTGTTATTATAGGTCCAGTACAATGAGTTAAGATGTCTACCTAATAATGTGATCAAACTGGATAAACTATCTAAAATATTTGCAAGGTAGATATTGTATCCACTCTCTACCACATGGACATGTATATCTCTCTCCATGCATACATGTACTTATCTATCGAGTATTAATTTTTATAAATTATTGACAAAAATCGTTTTAGTTTTGCTTTTTGGCTCTTAAGGACATCAGAGAGAGAGAGGGAGGGATCTCAGCTTTTATTTCATGTGCTCCTCCTATTGCTATACTGCATGGCCCGACAGTATTACCTCAATTTGTCTTCATAACATTGTCCATTAATTGATACATGTACATGTACATGTGTATTTATAGTCATTTTCAGTTAATGATACATGTACATGTACTGCATGTTTTTTGTTTTTCTTACTTTTAGCTGCTTCATTGTAGTTAACTTATTAATTTGCTAACTTGATTCGTACACTTTAATTACTAATCTATGAAATCTGTACCGAAGCAGTGGTACACACAATTATAAGGAAAAGTGATAG